CTCATGCAAAATGCCCACGTTGTTTCCTGAGGAGAGTCCGTAATTCCTCCATATTGAACCAGAGCCTGGTTACTCTTGCTTTGCATTGAGGTAGAGGTTTGAACATGGAGAGATTTAAAGGGTCCATATCTAGGGTAACATCTGTGTCTGGCAGCCAAAACCGTTGTGTGGTTGTGGAGATGGGAAGGAGAGGGAACAAGAGGTGGCCACTGAGGAAGATCTCTCACCTCACCCATTTCGAAAGCCTTTAGCTGTGCTTTTGTCTGGGCCTGCTTGAGACTCTTAAGATAATTAATCTAAACATCACTGTTAAATTCTGGAAATAAAACCTCCCATCTGTGTAGTTCATGAGGAGGAAGGAATTCCCCGCCTTGTTTAAATATACAATCAGTGTACGTAGACCTCTGCTTTTAAATAATAAGACTGGCAAATTCAGTCTGTTTTCAAACTTGGTGATAACCACCAAATATTTTCAACTCAGGAGTTTAGGTTTTATGCTGTCTAAAATACCACATTCATGAATATTCATAGGACATGCATTCCCATAGGATGAGGGTCACTGTAAGGTGTGCTTGATAGCTTTTAAATAGTTAGTACTATAATTGTGTATTTTGAGAGATGTCATCAACATTGTTGCTTCATCAGGTTATTAAGAAATGATTCTTGTTTTTTTCTTTAACACTACTTTGTACTTGTAAAATATAGTCACATTTAGTCAGAACTGGCTAATCTATTTAAGTTAATGTTCTCTTGAGGAAAAGCTTTGCATTTCACAGTTTGCTTCACAGTGTTCTTTAGGCACTTAAATAATTTCCATCTGTTTGTAGAATACCACAGGGTTTCTGGGTTGCCCAAACTATTATTGAATTTGGTAACCTCTCATTAGCCCTATTGCTTTATTATTTCCTATGTTGCGGGAAACAAAAAGAGGTTCGATTTAATATATTTCGATACTGGAAACTTGCTGCTGAAACAAACACCCAGAAGAAGTATTCTTACTTTGTACCTTTGTAACTGGCACTCGTTGATCCAGTATTACATCATATTCCTGTCTTCCCATTAATTTAGATGACCAGGTTTCTCAGGACTGTTCACTGATATGTCCTCTGCTGTTGGATGATGGAGTCATACAGTACTTGAGATCAGAAGTTGCTTCTAGATGTCAGTCTCAAAAGCAGGTCCAACTAGATCAGGTTGTGCAAGGCTTAGTAAATTCTTAACTAAACTGTTTCAATTCCTGGATGTATGACTAATATCTCTAAACAAAGTGTATAAATCAAGAATAGCTGAATTTGGCTTATAATTTCCTAAAGTGAGTTGTGGGGCTGGTAGTTGTTTGAATGTTGTTATCGAAACGATTACTATGTCCTTGCTTCTATTCTCTGTTCCAAGTCTGAGCAGCGTTACAGTGGAGTTTCTGTATGGGTAGCACTGACACGCACCTAAGATTCTTCGATTTTGGACAAAAAAATCTTGTAAAACCACTGTAATTTTCCACTTAAAGTCAGATTCACTGTTTAAATAGTGATGGCGTTAGAATAGGTAAGTACCTGTTGAAGCTGTGGTACCCAGTATCCAGCAGTGAGGCTGGTGGATATATACAGCGTGAGAACAGCAGAAGCGTGGAGGGCTCCTGCCCTGGTAGCGCTCTCAGCAACAGGTTGTTGGGAACTGGAGAAATTCTCTGAGCCAGACATTGTATCTTTATATTTAATAACCCATAAATAGATTTACTGCACCTGTTATTAACATTGTTTCAAGGGTAATATATCTTTTTGATTACTCTATGTTAGTCACACAGACTGATTTTGATGATCAAATGATCCCTGTTTGGAAAGACAAAAAAATTTCATATGTCTGAATGTTGGCTGAACCATAGAGACCTGATCCTCTCTCGAAGGAGACTGACACTGGGGAAGAACAGCCTGGAACAGATCTTGCCTTAGTAACATGTTCTCTTTTTTTTTTTTTTTTAAATTATTTTTTTATAGTCACAACCTTCCCCCTATGAAATTCTAAAGCAGATGGTTGTTCCTTTTTGTTCCTTTTTCTTATTTTCTTTGCACAGTCTACTTATAGATGTCTTGTAAGAACATGGGTATTGAATATTTATGCAATATCTACATGTGCACTGCTACCATTTGCCATCTACATAATTTTAGTCTTCCATCTTGCTTAACAAACAGTGTCCAGACTCTTTATTTTTACTGTGTGGTTAATAGAGGACCATCAAAAAAGTACATAATGCTGCTGCTGTTTTTTCTTACCGCTGTGCCCCTTAAATGTCATCAAGTTTACAAGACTGGGGATGCGAACAAGTGAGTTATTCAGTTTTAAAGAAAATAGCTTGGAGCCTCTATCATATTTAACCCCTCTAGCTAGGCTTAGAAAAAGTTTGATCTTAGTTAATCCTCTGAGACTGAGACCTGAGCTTTGACAGAAAAAGTGTGGAAATGCCACGCTGGGCTATATTTCTTCATAGCTGAAGCAGCTTCTTTTTCTCAGAGTATAGAGAATTCTCTCACACCAGCAGATCATTATTACCGTTGGTCCTGTGGTAGAAAAACCTGTATTTGCTCTCTATCCCAGAGATGCAAAATCAAGGATATTTTTGTCTCTCAACCAGCTTTACCTGTTGATTGACAGGAATGAAATATATGTTGCTGAACAGTATGGTGGAGGGGAAACCAATCCAGAAAAAAAACCAAACAAACCAAAACCTCCCACTTTTTTCCTGGAGGTTTATTAGATGAACATGATCAAGAGCTATGTATGACTGCAAAAACCACAATGATGATAAACGAGACACGTTGTTGAAAAGAAACCACTGGTTATTGCCATGCATGGAGGATAAACTGATTTAGAAAAGGATCTGGTAGGAAGCTTTGTTTTCACTGTAATTTGATACAGCCTCATGGGTAGTTGCTGTAGCTTAGAGATACCTGTGACCTGTCTTCCTGTCTGATTGTTTTGCTATTATTTGTGCAATATTCGTCTCTAAATGATAAATCTTATTACAATATCATAGTTACTTTTACTTAGCTGAGTTCAGGAGTAATACTTTTTGAGTCTTTATAACCTTAACTGTTAATAGAAACTGTAAATATTGATGTTTATATATTCAGAGAAAAAAAGCATAGCATTTAAATCTTGATTTTGTCTATTTTAGTGTCTATTAAGCAGCCTTTTTTAAAATGTAAATTTGTGACAATGATGTTGATAGATGGTGACTGTCCATAGTTCAGTTGCAGTATATGACTTTGTCCTTCTGGAGTAACAGGGAATCTGTCAGCTTCTGAACGTCAGTGTTCTCCTCTTCATCAGGGAGCAGCCACTCATTCACCAGGTATACTGGCCAACAGGTCAGGTACATCTGACATAGGAGAATGGATATTAGTGATATTAGAAATTGTGATAGTGGAAATGCATGGATTGCTGGTGGTACAGCAGAAAATGGAGATTTGTGGGATGCTAAAAGCTCTCTTTAATCTTAGTGTTAAGCCTAACAAATATATACCTGTGAACACAATAGTGATTATAAAGATCATCAAAGAGCAGAAATAGAATTTGTATTTGGAGGTCTGGTTTTTTTTTTTCCTCTCTCTATTTTTTTTTTTAATTCTTTCTCATTCCTTGTTAAATTCTCTGCTCTGCTGTTCCACCTAATCTGCCCACTGCTGGGCTAGGATTAAAAGTCTGAAGTTAGGTAGGGTTCTGACGTCTTTACTCCCATGTCTTCTAACAATAATCAGAACAGAGTTTAAACAGCTGAGCGGTAAAATGTGTAAGTCATCTTCACCATCTCACGTGGTATCACTTCCACTGCCCCTCAAATCTGAAAAATCCTAGCAATGAGATGATTTTGAAACACTTTTTTTGCTGGTATAAAGCAGTCTGAAATAAGTTGTCTTCTAAATACTGCTGAAGAGAGTCTTACATGTATTTAAAGTTTTTCCCTCATCCTGACTTACATTAATTTCAAAGTTTATACAAACTCCTATAGCATCAGATATGCTGGAAATGCATTAAAACTTTCTGCAACATGGAATGGAGCAATGCGGTAACAGGCTGTGAACACAATTTATTCAGATGTGGGGTTTTGAACTTGCAACTGGGGTATGTTGTGGCTGTTTTAAATGTAATGCATTTTAATATGAGAGAGAGGCCATTAGGATATTTTTATAGGTAATAGCTCTGTAGTTTAAAATAAGAGCAAATCTGAATGCATCTTGCCAGGTTTGTACTTGCACACCTCTAAGTAATGTTTTGTTTATTCTGATGATCTGGGCAGCATGGGGTGATGTTTAACTGGATAAACCTTACTTTAAAAATACTTCCTTTTCTACCTGAAGATTGTTTGAATTTTGAGGGTAGTAATTTCTGGGATTCCCTGGCACATGAGGACTCTTAAGAGGCTGGATGGTATTTGTGTGTGTGAGCTGGGAGCAGGTTGTCTGGAAGGTGTAGGTGTGATGGAGGCACGGGCGCTGTTGAGTAGCCATTTGCGCTGACTTCAGCAATTCCTGAGCACATCAGGCTTGCACCATGCAGCGTGTGTGCAGCTGTGCAGGTTTATAGGTTTGTGCAGGTCTGATACTTCTGGGAAACATTAGATTTTCTGTGCACGTGCTGGCTGTCTGCCTTGTCTGTCTCGATGGATCTGAAAGCAGTATGTTCGCTATGTGTGTGTACCAAGTGTACAAGCGATGTACTGAGCGTGGGCTGTGCAGTTTATTTCCATACATTCCACCTGGGAAATCCATCACACACATATAGGAGTCTGAGCTTCAGTTCATGTTTGTTTTCACTTAGATATGTTTGTTTTACTTTAAGCAGGTACTTTAATGACAACATTGTCTACCAAGAATATTCACTGAATGGAGAACATTTTATGGCATATTTTAAAACAAGCTGATCACTCTTTAAAACATGATATGGAAGTTATGATTTATTTTTGTTGGTCTGTATGCTTGACTCCAAATTTTGCTTTCTCTTTTCAGGCAGCTATAAATGGTGTAATACCACAAGAAAATGGCATTCTACAGAGGTAAGCAGAAAAGACTGGAGTAGTACAGACAGAGAATGATGCTAGGTAGTAGTTATGTTTTTGTTCCTGAATCTGAAGAAGATTGTGTAATTCTCCTTTTAAAGCAGTTTCTGGAGCCACAAATTAAATTCCTGGCAAACCTGATTTAACATTCAAATTTTCCCATGCTGATGGAGGACCAGCTCGAACATCTATTCAAATAAGTTGATTTTTGTTTTAAATTCATTGGTTGTTGGGTCATTCTGTGCAGGGTTGTCTCTTTACTAAGTACAGATTTTGGTATGCTTTCTTGGATGTCAGGACCTTTTTTTTTTCTTCCCCCCCCCCCCAAATTCTAAAAATTTGCGAGGCAAATCCACAGATGTTCTTGGATAAGTATTTTCTTTTTCCTTATGCTTTTTAAAAGGTGTTGATATTCCATGCTTCCTGTCCTTGGCCAAAAACATTTGTATTTTTGTAGCTTTGTTTTTTTTTTTTTTTTATTGAATTACAACCGGAAGATACTGTGTTAGATAAAGTAAGGTTGCTCCCTTCTATAAGTAGCTTTACTGATTTTCTTTTATCTTCTGAATGAAAAAAGGCTTATGTACTGATGCCTGGATATCTTGAGTTCACTGAAACATGAGCTCGTAAGTGCTGATGAGGCAATCGAAAACAGCAGAACAGGAGTTGAGCTACTTGAGAGAGACAATAAGATAGTGTTTAAAATTCTGTTTAGAAAAATGCTCAATATACTATTTTGAAAAGTTTAATGACGAAAAAAATACATAATGTAGGTAAAGTGGTGTTTTGGCATCTCTGTCAATACTTACTAAAGCTATCGTTAAATAGAGTCAGTTTTGGATTTAGGATAAAACCTTATTTTCTCAGTAAAGTTACTACATGTTTGTTTACTATAAGGCTTACCTAGCCTGTTTGAGATCAAGTCTCAGTTGTGTTGAGTGCTCTTTCTACCTATGTTAATAAGTTCTGACCTCAAAACATTCAAAATACCAGAATGTTTAGAACATTAGTAAAGCCTTTGACACCATTTCCCACAGCATTCTCCTGGAGAAACTGGCTGCTCATGGCTTGGGTAGGCCTGCTCTTTGCTGGGTAAAAAACTGTCTGGATGGCTGGGCCCAAAGAGTTGTGGTGAATGGAGTTCCATCCAGTTGGCGGCCAGTCACAAGTGGTGTTCCCCAGGTCTCAGTACTGGGGCCAGTTCTGTTTAATAGCTTTATCAACAGTCTGGATTAGGGGATCAAGTGCACCCTCAGTAAGTTTGCAGATGACACCAGGTTGGGTGGAACTATTGATCTGCTTGAGGGTAGGAAGGTTCTGCAGAGGGATCTGGACAAGCTGGATTGATGGGTCAACACCAGCTGTATGAGGCTCAACAAGGCTGAGTGCTGGGTCCTGCACTTGGGTCACAACAACCCCCTGCAACGCTGCAGGCCTGGGGAGGAGTGGCTGGAAAGCTGCCCAGCGGAAAAGGACCTGGGGGTGTTGGTCGACAGGCGGCTGAATATGAGCCAGCAGTGTGCCCAGGTGGCCAAGAAGGCCGGTAGTACCCTGGCTTGTATCAGGAATGTGGCCAGCAGGACTAGGGAAGTGATTGTGCCCCTGTACTCAGCACCGGTGAGGCCACACCTCAAATACTGTGTTCAGTTTTGGGCCCCTCACCCCAAGAAGGACATTGAGGTGCTGGAGCGTGTCCAAAGATGGCAAAGAAACTAGTAAAGGGTCTAGACAGCAAGTCCTATGAGGAGTGGCTGAGAGAACTGGGGTTGTTCGGTCTGGAGAAAACGAGACTGAGGGGAGGCCTTATTGCTCTCTACAACTACCTGAAAGGAGTCTGTAGCAAGGTGAGGGTTGGTCTCTTCTAAGTAACAAGTGATAGGGCAAGAGGAAATGGCCTCAAGTTGTGCCGGGGAGGTTTAGATTGGATATGAGGAAATATTTATTCACCAAAAGGGTTGTCAAGCATTGGAACAGGCTGCACAGGGAAACAGTCGAGTCACTATCCCTGGAGGTATTTAAAAGACTTGTAGATGTGGCGCTTAGGGACGTGGTTTAGTGGTGGACTTGGCAGTGCTAGGTTAACAGCTGGACTCAATGATCTTAAAGGTCTCCTCTAACTTAAATGATTCTATCATTCTGTGGTCAGGGGAAGGGAGCTGGTGAGTAGTTATGCCTGACTTGGATAACGACTGGTCCAAGTGTCCACTTACAGCTCAAATGTGTCTCAGATATTTTTTCTTTTGTTTGTTTGTTTGTTTTTTCCATTGAAGGTGGTTTAGAAGGAGTCTCAGAAGACTTAAAAGCTTAGTTTCCAGTGGTTTTCAGATGAGACTTATTTTACTGATATGAGGCTTTTGGTGTTCCACTAGAGGTTGCCAGTCAAATGTGTAGAATACCATTTCTGGTGGAATCAAATAGAGTTAATACAACTGGACTTAAAGTAAATTAATTTACTGAAGGGAAAAAATACATTTTGTTTTATAATTCAGTTGTGTTGTTAAAAAAAAATCCAATTCTGAGAATCGGAGTATTCTTTGCTTCTTAGGTCTGTTAACAAAATGGTTATAGTACTTAATTCATAGCTGGACATCAGATTTAAGACACTACCATATCACTTGGCATTTATACCTTCTAAGTCCTGAGAATAAGTCTGTTTCCTGTAGTCTTTAGACCTCTTTGACCTTTGAGCATGAGTCTTTGAGTGTGGGTCTTTCTAGCTGGGAATCATCCTTCTGAGCCTGTTGATATGAGAAGGGAGGGAACCCTTTGTTTTACGAGCATAACGTTTTTCTTTTTCAAATGTGGGAAGCACAATGATGGGATTTGCAATAGCTGTGTGTAATTTCAGCACTTCTGTGACATGCATGCCATCCACATTGATGCTTTTTTCAGTTCAGGCCTCCTCTAGATGACAGATTTGACTTGCTTATAAGAAGCTTTTCCATTGAGAGATTTTGTAGTATTTTCAAGAAGGGCAGAATGCATTTTTCTAATAAGTTCTGTTTAAGAATGGAAATGAGACAACTTACATCTCAGCATTTCCTAAATCCTTTGGTCAGCTTCCATTCTTTCAGTGCATATGTGTTATTAGCTTGCATCTTCCATCACGTTATCCTGCAACTGCCCGGGACAGATGATATTCCTGATAACAATATCTACAAGGCCAAGCTCTAGGCTTACCCTATGAATTTTCTTGCCTTCCAAATTTAGTTTCTGTATATCATAGGGTTTGTTTTTTTTTTTTTGCCTAATGATCCTTAAATTTCATTTTTTGTTACCTTTCTTTCTAATCCCAGTTACGTGCTTCTTGTGCAGATGCTCCCCGAGGAAGATGAAGTGCTTCTGAGTAGTGAGGGTTTCCCAATTTATTCTGACCTGTAATGCTGTATGTATCCTTGAGCCAGGTATGGAGACATCCCTATATGAATCTCCTGGAGGCTTGAAGGATTTTGCTCTTAAAGGCAAGCTAGAATTCAGCATTGCATTTACTATTGTCCTTCTAGGTATTTTTTGCAATATAAACCTCATTGTACTTGAAGTGCAGAACTGTTTTCATATCTGACTTGTTTTCCGCTAATTTGGTATTGGAAAATACCAATACACGTGCCGTATTGTAAACTTTATTTCGTATTTTAATTTCCATGTGATACTAGCCCAATGATGTAGAAAGATGGTCGTTGCCGTGGTGCCGATTTCTGGTACTCCTGGAACAGGAAATAATCCTTCTTCTCAAGATAATTCTGATATTAATTACATAGGGAACTTCAGACTGAAATAGTGTCTTCAATACTTGTTTGTCATCTAAGCTGTTCTCCTAGAGCCCTTCTGAATCACTGAAATGTTAATATTGCTGATATGAAAGTTATTTTCTAGTTATTAATAAAATAGTGTTTTCAGATACGACAGTGTAGTTTATTCGAGAGGTGTGTGCTGTGGACCACAGTAACCGAATAATACTGTTCATTTTGCTTTGCTAACTTTTACTTAAACATATCAGGCTGTTCTGTTGAAACCTTCTTGTCTGCGTGTCTTTCAGTGAGTACGGTGGAGAGACTTTACATGGACCAGCATACGGCTCCACAAGTCACTCTACAGCAGCTTCTTCAGCTCCTTCCTCATCCTCAGCATTTCGCCATGTAGTGCCATCTAGACAAATAGTGGAAAGACAACCTCGAATGCTTGACTTCAGGGTTGAGTATAGAGACAGAAATGTGGATGTAGTACTTGAAGACAGCTCCACAGTTGGTAAGGATTTGTGAAGATGAAATGAAAACTGTTGTGGTAAACTTGTTCAAACAAAAACAAACACAAGAGGCCCAACCCCCAAAAATACAAATACTAAAAAACCCACCAAAACCAAACCAAACCAAAACCCCTCAAGGAAGAAAAAAAAAAAATCCCCCAGAAAATGCAGCATCCGCAGCTACTAACCATTTTCAAATCTTTTTGCAGCTTTAAAAAAGCAAAATTTGAGTAATCCATTATAAAGGTTAGTGATCTATCAAGTATGTATTTTGAAATCTAGTTTTCTTATGAACTTGCTTCAGAAACAAAATGGAGATTACTGATTAAGTTGAGGCATGAAAATATAATTTGGGGTAGGATTAGTGTAGATGCAAGCAACTAAGGAGTGGATGATCTTGGCATTTCCTTTTCGAATCTGTATGGCGTCTCTTTCTGTGTAGGATTAGTGACAAGATGCAGAGGAATTCTTCCCAATGTGAAGAGCATCATTACATTCTTTTTTAGTCAATTTTTCTTTGATTTGTATGTGCAAATTAAGATTTCTTTTATAAGTTTTATTGTCTTTATAATAAAACTGATGCATTCTGTAACAGCAAGTTAGAAATATGCTATTGTTAGTATTGCAGAGCATGTTATTTTTTATACTCCCCAAACTGTGAGTTAATTTGCTAAGGATGAAGAGGTGCTTTTTTTTTTTAGTGAAGACTTTATACAGATCAAAATAAGGAACTAAATGAAGAAATAGTTGATTAAAACACGTTTCAGTGCTGCAGCCCTATGTCTGTGATGAAATTCTTAAATTGAAACTTCTGATCCTTATTTGCCCTTTTAGCATTCGATTTGGTGTTGGCTGGTGCCACCTGGTGGTGACTGATTTAAATTCTTGATCAGTGTTTCATGGTTTCCACTGCGCTGAGCTGCATCCATGCAAAGCAGATATAAAAGTCTGACCAAATCAGAATTTTGCATCCCTTTTATTTTAATTTTTTTTGTATTAACTTATTTCAGGACTAAATGATTAAGCTGTAGGGCAGAAGCAATCAGTGCAGAGCTTTTGTCTGTGTCTTGGCATATGAAGATTGAGGGCAGCTTTGTGTTTAAAGTCCTGAGAGCAGAGAGCAAGGCAAACAGTAGAATTTCAACTGTGGTCTTCAGGAAAGAAGATTTTTGGCTTTTTCAGGGATCTGCTTGGCAGGATCCCATGAGAGACTGCCCTGAGGGCAGAGGCACCCAGAAGAGCTGGTTGATCTTCAAGGACAACCTCTTCAAAGTACCAGAACAGTTCCTTCCAACGTGCATAAAGAGGAGAAAGCGTGGCAGAAGGCCAGGACAGAAGAACGAAGAATTTCTGACTAAGCTAAATGAAAAAAGAAAGTACACAGAAGGTAGAAGGTAATGATGAGGCTACCCAGGAGGAATACAGAGATATTGCCAGAGTATGCAGGTTTGGAGTCAGAAAGACCAAAGCTCAGTGGAGCCGAAACTACTGAGGGATTAAAAGGTCTTCTGTAAGTACATCAGTGTGAAAAGAAGGGTGAGGGAAACGTGAGCCTATTGTTCAATGGTGGTTCCTGAACTTGGTCCATGGGAAGATTATGGAGAAAATCTATCTGGAAGCCCTTTTTGAGCATAGGAAAGAAGGTGGTGGTTTGGAACAGCCAGCCTGGATTTGCTGAGGGTAGATTGTGCCTAATCAATGTTATTTGCCTTTTATGATTTGGTGACTGTCCCTGTGGACAGGGGGAGAACAGGGGTGTCACTTTGACTTTAGTAAGGCCTTTGACATACTCTGCTGTAGTATTCTTGTAGTCATTAAGATAAGGGCTGGATAAGTGGGCTGATAAAGTAGGTAGATAATTGCCTGGACTGCTGGGCTCAAAGTCTGCTTGGTGAACAGTTGCTAGTTTAGGGATGTCCCTCAGGGGTTGATCCTGGGGCCTGTGTTGCTTCATGTCTTCATTAAAAACCTGGTGGGTAAGGTGAGTGCTTTTGGCAAGTTCACAAAGAATACCAGATCAGAGAAAGTGGCTGATATTCCGTAGGGCAAGGCTGCTATTTAGGGGACCCTGGACAGCCTGGAGAAATGGGCTGACAGGAGCCTCATGACGTTTGAGGGAAGCAAAGCTGCAGTCCTGCATTTGGGAGAGGATGACTCTGTGTTATCCTGCCTGGTAACTGCACAAGCTAGGAAGCAACTTTGTAAAAAAGGGAGTCCAGGGGTGCATCAGCAGTGCAGCCTTGTGGTAAAGAAGTCCTAGACTGTTAGCAGGAGTGTAATTATTCCCCTCTATTCAGTACCTGTGAGACTACATCTGGAGCACTGCATCCCGTTTTGAGGTCCCCAGTGCAAGAAAGACGTGGACATTCTGCAGTGAGTCCAGCAGAGGCCAGCAAGGTAGTCAGGGGACTGGAGCACATGGCAGCACAGGAGGAGAGGCACAGACTGCTGCATTTGTTTCCTTCCAGCCTGAATTATTTTATGACTGTAATAACTACAGGGAGAGGAGAGCATCGAAATGTGCAAAACATTGAAAAAGCTGTCAGAGCAGCTGAATTGTATGAACAGTCCAGTTCTTTAGGTCAGGATTATTGATAATGGAATTTGGTATCAAAAATATGTATGCTCCTTATTGCTGGCAAAGTCCAGTGCTCCCCACAGCATGCATCTACAAATGTGTTTGTTTTTTGTTTTTTTTTTTGTTTTTTTTTTTTTTTAGCTTAACTTATCCTCTACTGTTTGAAGTTTGTTACAAGAGAAACCACATTAAAAATGGTTTTCATAGTAAATTTTTCCTTGGTCTTATTTTTTAACTGTAACTCAGTACTGTTTGAAATAAATCAGTAATATTAGAAATAAATCAGTGTATATTTTATCTATTTTCTTTCTTTTCTCTGTAGGAGATATCAAACATATTCTAGAAAATGAGCTTCAGATTCCTGCATCTAAAATGCTGTTAAAAGGGTGGAAGACTGGAGATGTAGATGATAGTGTAAGTTTTCAGCTGTGTTTTCAGTTAACTGGATTGAGAGTTTCAAACTGACCATCTGTGGGTGGGGATTACAATGCAAGAATTGTGAGTTTCAGTGTCTCGAGGGGCATACAAGGAACTCTTAAACTAAAACATTGCACAAAACATCAGGAGAAAACACTTCAGTTGTGTTGTTTTTATGTATAACGTGGTCCACCTACAAAAGGATGTTATGAAGTTAATAGTAAGTATATTTCAAAACAAAATATTTGGTAGTATTGTAAATAAGTATCAGTAATTAAAAGAAATAATACCTCAAAATTGGTGCATGTTTTATATTTATAATGATTTTTCTCCCCTCAGACTGTTTTAAAATCTCTACACTTGCCAAAAAATAATAGTCTTTATGTTCTAACACCTGACCTGCCTCCTTCTTCTTCAAGTCATTCTGGGTAAGTCTTTTGGCCATAAATTCTTCTTGTATGATTTGGTTTTGTATTATTTTTATGAAGCCATGTGTATCCTTGCAGGAATCAATAAATACGAAGTGTTTTCTCTGCTCTAGTAGGTGTTGGGATTACCTCAGCGATGAAAAGAAGATTGTTCAGTTTTTTAAAACCTTGGTGTGGTACATGAACGACTTAGGCACATACAGAGTTTTACACCTCCCAGATGCAATGACTTTAACAAAAATCTAGTCCCTGAGAACTGAGAGCTGGCCTTTCATAAGTCACTGCATTATGTTGGTTCGTTTAACAGAAACTTGTATAAATCATTGCCAGGAGATCAGAATTTTCTTTCTGAAACGTTTGTTATATTATTGGATCTTGTCTTAGACTTTTAAAATGTGCATAGATAGGCTAAGTAGTCAATTTCCTCTAACTGAACAGGATATCTCTTATTACTGATTTGAATACTCAAGAAGTTAACGCCGAGAGTTCTGTGTCAGTGGCCATTGCTAAGATTTGAAAATGAAATGTTATCTTGTGGTAAATGGAATCTTTACTCTTATCAAATTGCAAATTATTTCGTTACTTTGGCTTGTGTTCTTTCCTGCCCTTCCCTTTCCCAAAGGCAGACCTGGATGTGCTCTTTCCCGGGAAAATCTTCATTTTATTCGGTTGCCACTAGAGGGGGCCCAGGAATCGGGCCCGGCAGGGAGCGGGGCATTGCGCTGGTTGGGTGATCCTTACACTGGAGTGCCTGCAAGTTGGCTGAAGAGGGAGTTGTTCTGCTGCTGTTGTAGTCGATAGGAGAATGTTACAAATGCAGTCGTGTTATTGGTGAGGGAAATTGACAGTCAATGGAAATAAGTAACTGGTTTCCTAATGACTAAGAGTACTTCAGTACTTGTGCACGTAACAGCATAGTCCGTGGAGGAAATAAGGGTACTGATATGAAGTATAAAAATGATGGTAATAAAGAAAGAAGCATTAAGAGAAGGAACAGTGGCACTGGAACAGAGGGAACAGAATGGTGGTGACCTGTATGTGCTCTATGTGCAAACAGGAGCTGGAGTTGTGTGTGAGGACAATAAGCTGTTGTACTTAAGCGGCTAATTGAAGGACGGTGCAAATACAGTGAAAAAACACTGTAGGTACTAATTGTTTGTTTGTTTTTTAATCCATTTCCAGTTTCAAAATTTTCTACCCAGATATTGCTGTGTATTGTCATTTGAATGTCTTCAATTCTGGAATGAAAACTGGGGTCTGGGGAATATTGTTTATTGCAACTGCAATAAGCTATGTAACAACAAATTGTTCAAAAACGGTTCTTAGGTTTTTTTTTTTATTGGTTGAATAGTTTAAAAGAACTTTACTTGCTAGTAAAATCAAAGTGGTTGTTACCTTTACAGTTTATACTTGTTTCATAGTGGAGATTAGTTCTGGATATTTTTATTTTTATTTGCTTTGGGATAGCAAACGATGATTAATTAGTGGCTATTTAAACAAGGATATTTTGAAGGCTAGATCATCTCCCTGAAGTCATAAATTCTAGATGAAAGGGGAGGTTTGCCTCCAATTAAAGCATCAATGCAGATCAAAACACATCTAATTGAAGCAATGTACCAAACCCAGTTACACTGTTTACTGCCTACTGTTAGGTCAGTTATTAGTCAGATTAGTTTGTTACCCACAATTTTTAAAAGCATTATGCTCACATCTATTATTAATGGATGTTAAGGAACTTTGCCTCTTGCTTTGTGAGTTCATCTGTTGTTTCCTTCAAATGCCTTCTGTTTTGAACTAGAGATAAATAGTTGTGATTTTAATATCTCCAGAAAGTGATGTTTGAAACGCCTGAGATTTTAGTACATGATATTTTATGTATATGCCCTTCTTAAAAGCAGTAATCAAGTCACTGTTCTATAAACTCCAGTTTGTGCCTGTTCTTGACACTGAGGGAGAGCAGTGTCTGAAACATCCTTTTCCAACGTATTGGTATGTAGACGTTGAAGTTTATTGTGACAGACTGAATGGGCTTAACAGAGAACTGACTTAAAGCTAGCATCTAAATGTAATGGCAAAGTGATTCTACAGTTTAACAAGACAAAGTCTCCTAGGGTATCTTCATTCACCAGTGGTGTATCTAAAGCTTTTACAGGTAATAGAAACCCAGTGTATTACTGCTGCATGCTAGTAAATTGAGGTGTAAAGATTAAATTTAAATCTCAGATACCACCTGTAGGGTTACATGCCCTGCTTCCACAGTTCCAGCTGGCAAAGCCATACCTATCCATGCGTGATATCCAGAACAGTGACAACGTGTTCTGTGAGCTGTGGTCATAATGGAACCTGACTTCTGCTGAATTCCTGCCTCACCCCAGTGGCTGCAGTAACTCAGCCCTCTCTCTCCATGATCTACCTCTGACACTGCCTCCAGTTCTTCCCATGTCTTTTGTAGCACCTATGCCATTTTTTTTCCTCCTGTACAGACAGTCAGCTTGCCCTGCCTCTGTTCTCCAGCTGGTAGCCAAGTAATGTTGAAGAAAAGGAGACATCGCATCCTGTAGGTACTTCTGTAATCATTAGCTAGAAGTTGGCTGGATAGAGTATAGAAATACACTGCTTGTACTGAAGCCTTGTCCTACGGTGGGTAGTAATTTGGGTCCCTTTCCTCTCCCCAGCTGGTGCTTTACACCCCATCTTTGAGACCTTTATAATGCTGTCAGACTTCCGTGAAACTAGTGAATATGTTCAAAAGTTACCAGATAGGACAGGTGGGTGAGAAGAACATGGTTTCCTTTGGAAAGCAGTCTTAAAAGGAAAGGTGCCAAAGAATGTCCATCGTTTAATTGTCCAGGGGGAGGAGACATCCTTTGCACTGTCTTTGTCAGATTAGATTCTTCACTTCCTCAGGGTGACTTTCTTTCCCTTTGTTGCCTTGGGTGCTTCTTGAAAGCCGGCAATACCCGGTTCAGGGCAAGGGTTTTGGAGAACGCAGTAGAGGGGAACGTCAAAAGTGTAGGGCTGCGAGTCTGGCCATAGAGCTAGGTCATGCTGATCTTCTCTTCAGTCCATCTTGCATGTTCTGAGAGGCACATTTTCTCAGTTTTTTCTTCAGTTGTCACTTTAATGGGTATAATATATTTAGTGTTTATACTTTTTTGCTAAATGGCTGAAAGTATTAGTTTTTTTATACTTGAGGAGTCGTTGGAAGGTTCAAAACAGTTAAAAACTATTTGAGCAGGTGCATACCTTAGTGATTATTACAAGTAATGTATTTTTGCTGAGCAATTGTGATTTATTTAAGAAATGTAGTAATCTGTGTGGATAGGAATAAAAAGCCCCATCTTTGACGTAATGGGTTCGTATATTGCTGAGTGCCTGTGTTGCAGATTGTTGCAGAGGAGTGGTTATCGTGGCATGGTGTCTTGTATGCTGTGAACTGTAGCAGAGTGTTAATTAAGAGCAATGTAACCTGCAACTCCAATTATTAGTTTTGTCTGTTTAGCTGGACAGGAGCAGTGCCTTGCTTTAGTTACTTTGAAAGCTTCAATAAGAATGGTAAGATTAATGTTTTATTTTCACATCTGCTCATGAGACAGTTTAAAAATCCTGAAGTTTAAAATGCAATAGAATGTAAACAAAAGGGCTTGTGCTCATTTACATGTTAGCCAGATTTGCTAACTGATTGCTGTTTGAACCTAATCTACCACCTCCTGCTGCATTAGCTACAACAAACATTACATTTACATACTGATTTCTTATTTTGTTTTAATGTAAATAATCTGTAATTACAGTAAATTTGGACTTCTGTTGACATGAGCTTGTATAAATCGGTAAGTTTAAAATGGAAATGTTAAATACCTTGCGTCATACCGATTTATATAAAATTCAGAGATTTTTGGGGGAACTCTCCATGTGGATGAGAAAGATATTGCCTAATTGGAAATACTGAATGTATTTCATAAAAACTTAACTGAACTGAAATGAAAATGAGCATTTGCTGATCATTGATTAAAGATATAATTTTGGTTTCTAAGCTTAAAATATTACTAGAATGTCAAAGGAAAATGCTGTTAAAAAACAAAGTATTACATCAGAAATCAAAGCATTAAGGCATTCACTTAACAATAGATAGTACCAATCTCTTTCAGGTATTGTGTTACAGAACAATAGAAAAGCAGTAAATCTGGAAGCTTTAAATATAGTAATACCATCTTGCTTCAACCTTTCATAGATTGATTGAACAGTTGCTGTCCCCCAAGATGAGCACTATTTGCAGTCACACTTTTTTTTTTTTTTTGCTAAAAATTGTTTGTATTCTTAATTTGTTAGACTTGTGGTTTATGGTTTGTGCTGTCTTGGAATTTGGGTGGAATGGTTAGTGAATAAACTCTAGACTCTTAAGTTTTGATATTTTGAGTGGAAAAAAAAAGAATTCTCGCATCTTCCATTGCTTGGAATTTAAGATTCCAAGATGAGCATTTTTGTTTGCATATTGTAGACTTTCAGTCCCAGCTGAATACTGGTCCATCACTGAGGGTTCTGTGCATTGTGATAATGCCAATACGTAGTGCTGTAGAGGCAATCCATATGAAATCCTGAACTGGTCCAAGTCCTTCTTGCTAGAACTGTTCAGAGCCGTGACTGTGCTGAGGTCTGTTTTGTCTATTCTTGGACTGCTTTTCGTGGTGTAAGCAGAGTCCCTCTAAGGGAAAATTGGTGCCCAAAAATACCATCAAGTTCCCTTGCCTCCCTTGATGGATAGCGAATGTATCATTATTCAGCTGAGGAAAAAAAAATGTATTGGCAGTGTATAGCCTATCAGCAAATGCTTTTGAAAGCTAGGGTTTGCAGTAGGGGGGAAGTGGTGCTGATAAGAGTGGCCTACTTTAATCCTGTTTCTAGAATTTGATTTTCTTTTCCCACTAATTAATTCTCAGATTAATTAAATTCTGTTAACACTGATGGGAGGGAAAAAAAAAAGGAAAATGTCTTGACTTTAATGGGACCTGGGGTTTGGTCCTGATTTTTTTTTTTTTTCTTTTAATGCAGATGTTTCATTTGGAAGATTGTAGCAAACTGATAACATTTGCAGGAAAATGAAGCTGCTGCAAACAGTTTCAAAACCATTTTCAAAAAGCCAAAATTTTAGAAATGTGCATTGTGTTCAGTCTTTTCAATACTGTTGTGTGCACCTAAAAAGAAGTAAAAGTAAGCTTCAGCTTGCTGTCAGTGAGAAGTCTCCTTTAAATACACTTACTTTGTACCCTTGATCACAGCCTTAATGGCTGAAAGTACAATTTTAGAGCAAAGTATGTTTTGGAAGCAGAGTTCTATTGGCACAAATAGTTTGGGGTAATCCCTAGTTGTTGGAGGAAGTGAATATGGGAGGGGACTGACATCACTGGCTGTGCCAGTGTTCAAATCAACCCCATTCTGCGGAGGAGCAGTGGTACACTTAGGAAGTCATTGGTACGATCTGTCCATCAGACTTGCCACCAATTCCTCCTGTTGACTAATGTCGAGTCCAGGTCTTGTCACACCATATGAAATTTTGATACAGGAGCTCAGATGATTGTATCAGTTAACCGCTGCATTTCTGTGTAAGCAGAAGTAATATTCCTCATTATATTATTTTTCTGAAGAAAATATTAATAAATAACCATGGACTTTGATTGCTAACACTTTCAAAACCAATCTTTTCCTAAATTTTTTTAAGGTTTCTTTTTTTTTAGCTAGCTTAATTTTCAGCCTCTTCTTTGACTGTATTTGTCTATGAATACGTACTGAGAATTTGCTTGGTAAGAACATTCAGCTTACATTGTTTAGAAATCCAAAAAGCAGAGGTGTCAAAATTGTTAGTTACTTCAAAAATTGAGGCTTTCATTTTAAGGTACTTCATTTAAATTAACTGTGTTTGAGGAGTATTTTTTCCTTTTCTAAATACTCTCTGCTATCACATCCAGATGAAATAGAGAAGTGGAAAACCTTTCCTATGAACAGATGTTTTTTATTAGCAAGCTGTATTTTGAACAGTACTGAAGTGTGTGTATCGTGCATACCTTGAGAAACTGAGGGTTTGATTGAGCAAACCTGTTCCATTCTATATTTACATCAATTACAGAATGCAAATGTGAGTTGTGTTATCAGTTAGCATCTACAGATTTTCAGAGATAGCCATAACAGAGCCTTGTGTGATTCTGTATGGAATCCAGAGCCATTCACATATGCTGTAGTTAATGTTTTCGGAGCAATTAAATATGTCGTTTGCGTCCAGTGTTTGCTGAAAACAAATAAAAAAATCAGAATCTGAAAAAGCGCAGTAGGATATTTTACTTGCCACTGAACATTTGCTAAAAGAAAATACGGCTATGGTGATGCTAAGCTTACTGTTAACAATCAAATTAGAATTGCCTTTGAAAACAGGCATACAACTTTTCAGAACTCTCTCTTTTGAAGGACTGTTAAGTATTTTAAAGATTCTTATGCCTTTTCTTACAGGATTTTGTGATAAGTGGAGCTAACTTGGTGTTCAGCATAGATGGCGTTAGTTACATTTGTAGCATCATACACTTGATCATACTGAGCATTGACAATGAGTTAAATTTATCTTCATATTACTAAACTATAAAAGATGAGAAATAGCACTTCGTGATTTTGTTTTGTAGTTTGTGATTATTATGTTTAAGATGTCACAGAATCCAAATTAAGTTGCTGAGTGAAGATATTTTTGTAAAGGTAATTTTTCTTGAGATGTTAAAGCAAATTGTGCATCTCTTGCTAAAGCATCCAGTGAGTCTTGCATGGGTTCCTTACCATCTGAGCAGCGAAACTGCAGATCGGCAATTCCAGCAGAAGTTAAAACTAACAAATCAGGTCTCAAATAATCTAGCAGTCTTTCTTGTCGTCTTGTATCTTAAGATACAGCTGTGCTCATCTGCATATAGAATTTGTCCTTTATCGCTAAGAGGAATGGCATGTTGAAGTGTTGTGGAACAGTGAAGATGTGAAGGAAAAAAAACCCTGTCTGTCATTCCTGTAAGAGTGTCTGATAAGAAAAAAAGGATAAACCCAATTAAATTCCGTATGCCCCTGAACAGGTCAAGTCTACATAAATATTGTTTAGAAATCCAAGCTATGTTACAGTGTTGCTGCAGTTTTGCAGCCTGAACAAGATTGTACACAGTTGTAATTGCCCTGCCTATAACATAAGTCCTGTCTTGCATTTTGAAAACTAGATAGCTGCATAATTTTGCACCTAATTAATCAAACAGGATGCCTTTTTAACATCCAGAAGTTTTGTTACCAGGAAAATCACAAAAAAACCCAAGTTTGTGACAACATGAACATACAGTTGGCCTGTTTAATCTGTATCTTAAGATTTTTTTTTTAAATTCTTATGATTAAAGATGTTTTAATGTACATTTAAAACAATTTGAGCATAACTAATTTTCCTAAATGCGCAATACCCACGTGAGAAATTCTGCTGTTGTTAGTTTTCCAGTTGTAATTAGCTGGGTTTATGTGCTTTGAATAAAACTAAGTGGAAGAATTTCCTTTTGGTTTATGCATCAGGTAACCCTAGAGAAGTGAGAGCATGCTTTGCCTTGTTCTACTTACCATCAGTTTTTTAATGTGCATTGTAGCTTGATATTTTGTCTGGTCATCAGTATGCTTACAAGGCTGGTTTTGATGGCATTATGAGTGCTAAATATACCCGATGTTTGTGAAGATAATGTGGCTCTCTTGATTTTGAGAATATTTAACATTAGAAGAGCTTTAAAGGCTGCAGTCACCTTATTAAGGAAGGAGTTCAGGAATGGCCTTTGGTCATTCTCAGCATGCTTCCTTGCGTTTAAGAGTGAAAAGAGAGATGATAATGTTGTGCCTGGACTTGTCCATGTAGAGTTTAGGGTACCCTGGGGTTTTTGCATCTAACTGTAAAACAAGCTATAACATGCTTATCTCTGATTTTCTTGTTTTTCTTTCAACCATTTCAGGGCCCTGCAGGAGTCATTAAATCAAAACTTCATGCTGATTGTCACCCATCGAGAAGTCCAGCGGGAGTACAACCTCAACTTCTCAGGAAGCAGTACCATTCAGGAGGTGAGTGCTGTTTCACAGCTGAAGAATAAATGTAGCTCATTATAGCTAATGCCAGCTCTGTTAAAGAAGGGTTTACATGGTCTTGATGGATATTCCTTTATTTTATTAGTCTTTCATTGGTTTAATCGACTGGACCATCAAAGCTGCTGTAATTTGATTCAAGAACTTGTCCTAAAAACGGTTTTCTACAGAATTATACAGAAAAGATGTTTCTTTTTGCATTGTAGTAGCAAAACATATGAACAGTGTTTATTGAGTTATTCTAGAGTGATGAGGAAAGGCAGTTATGAAAATTAAATTTTATTTTAAGCCCCTTGAAGATCCCTCTGTCTACCTTTCCTTTAACCAGCTCCATCTCCATTTTGTAGGCACCTCTAACGTTACTGGTTATTATCGTCGTGCTGTAATTCTTACTGGCTAGGTAGCCAAATAATTTGGTGTGTAATGGATGTCACTGCCATTCTGTAGAATGGCCAGCAAGGGGTGATGTTGTAGAGAACTTGGTCAGAATTAAGTTCTGTAGGAACAAGTATCTCTAATATGACTCTCAACCCTCTGAATTTAGAACAAGCAGTCTTTGCATATTTTTAAAACTCCTTCCTAAAGCCAAAGGTTTTTGTCTAATGCTCTGTGGTGTGTCTAATGCCAGATGTTTTGGATGTTATTTTCCATAAAACCCACTACTGGAAACATGCAAAACAATCTAGCAATGTGAATCTTCAAAATTCACATTACAAAATATTAAGATCAAATGTTTGCTTTTCAAATTAAATGTATGTTTGCTATTGGGTCTGATGCTTCTCTGTCTTTTAGGGATGAACAGATTTTATTGAAGTTTTTCATATCGCATGCTGACATTGTAGACAGAATTATTTTAAGTTCCATCATATTAGCTATAGGAGTAATGTCTCATACAGCAATGAAAAGTTATACTTGACTGTTTTCATTGTGAATCCTATTATGCTTAAGATCCAAATTCTGATGTTTCCCCTGTGTGAAAGCCTGTTTCCTACTTTACCTTTTTAAACCTATTTTAGTAAATTCAGGGTTTTTGGGTCTTTTTTTTAATAATATAAACAAACAAGCGTAGTTGCATCAATTTGTTTTTTGAGGGGCCAAGCTCTGACTCTTTACAATTAAAAATATTTGAATATTTATGGAAATAAATGATCAGAATATTTGTTTTTAGTTTTGAAATGGTGAGATTCTAAAAGAAAACACATACATACATGTCATCTATTTGTTTTTTATATATGCTGCGTCAATTATTACTTTGCTGGTGGGTCTTACCCGGCTTAGAGGAAGCAGAAGGCTGTGACAATCCATGGGACTCTAGGCTGCCTTTACATGCACTGAAGTTTTCTTGTCTGTTGCTAATGGCAGGTTACAGTCAACATGTTAACATATAAAGTTGACTGATTTTGGTTATGATCTTCCCCATTAAACAATTAAAATCCAAAAAAACCCCTACTACCCCATAACCATCATGAGCATCAAAACTCTCCTTGCTTTTCCATCTTGTATCCAAGTATTACTTCCAATATAGTGTATAAAATTATGAAAACCCTTTCCAAAGCTAAAATGAGAAGAGCACTCTGGACCTTCTTGTGCAGCTGGTGCTGAACAGGTGAATATGTCTGACTGTGCAAAGTCTCATGGAAATCACTGGGGATTTGGCTGAGGTAAAAGGGTTGGTGAACATTTGCCTAATTATAGAAAACAAGCACTGTTCTGTATGTTAACTCCCTAATGGGTATTTAATTTAATTTTTTTTTTAGCATAAAGTGAGCATTGTAACAAATGATGGATGAATCTAGTTACTCTGCGATTTGGAGGAATCTGTGCTGTGTTTCCTTCTCTCCTTTGTCTCTCTCCTCTCCAGAGACTGTTAGATATATTTTTTTTTTTCTTCACTCTCTTGTTCACACTTTAACAAATTAATAGTTTACTTTCCTTCTGGTGTATTTTTATACTCGTGGAAAAGCTCTCTGCGAGTTGCAGTTGGCAACCGCAAGAGGGCAGGAAGGACTATTCAATTATTACCTACACATGCCGTTCAGTGTTTTCAAATTAGCTGCTGGTATATTAACAAAAAGGAGTATAATGGCCAAGTTATTGTTTGATTTACAGATAATTGGCATATTGCAGGGAGGAGACTTAATTTCACCCTTTTAAATTAAACAGGGAGATTTAAAAAGACATAAAATATTCATTAATGTTCAGTGATTATAAAGCAGTGGCATATATTTATTCTACCTTTATTACTGTTTCGATGGGAAAATACTGCAAATATTTCAGAAATCGACTTGGCCATACTGACAAGTTGAAATGTTTAAGCAGTGTTAATGCAATCTACTCACACGTTTTATCCTATGCAGAAAGATTCAAAATGACTACATCAATTATTAAAAGAAATATTTAAAATTCTAGAAATGTTCTGCTGCTTGCCACAGTTGGGTGCAACTGTCTCTCCAGGGCCAGTTGTTTAGTTGGTTGTTATTAGTGCTACGAATTTTAAGGAATAGATATTTTTTTTCCAAGTATCTCAAAAAAACCCCCACCACACCAAAACCCCAACCCCACCACCCTTACAAAACTGTCATAAATATTTTGCAGTGGATTAAATGCAAAATCCAGTGAGCTCTCAGCTGTGCTTTACTAAACTACTGTTGCTTCAGTTCTCTGTCTTTTTTTTATTGTTTAGAATGCAAGTTTAGTAGTCAATGATATTTGGATGAATTGTTATCTCAAAGTAATCTTGCTGTTTAATGGGGAAATAATCTGTCAAAAAATTCTCCGAGAGAAGTGTGAAGCTGTAGTACTCATGTCTGCTTCCACAATTTTCTTGCATATTAATTCAATAGTTGGATTTTTGGATGGTGCTTGAAAACGCTTTTTTTTTTAACATGCTTTATCTACATCTTCAACTATTTGCATATTAAGATTTAATTTCTCAGTTTAAAAACTATAAGTTATATTCAGTTATATTGATGTGGGATTTTAAGCCTATAGGGCATCTTCAGAGATGAAATAAAATATTAAACCAAACTTGTCCAATACTCTGGATATTGGATTTTTTTTTTTGTGAGTTGGGCGGAGGAGTTGTTAATTTGGAAAGTTAACGATAACATGGTGGCCTAAATTGCAAATTAATCTGTGTCACAGGTTTCTGACATCTGTTTGTTCATGTAAAATTGCAGTATTAAATTAATTCTGGGCAGATACTGTTCTGGGAAATACCATGATTACTTTTTTCCATGATCTGCATTTGAAAGTGGAAATTAGTAGGTTTTTGTGCCATTTTGGAGATTGTAAATTAATACATTTCCAATGTATTATATGGTTAAAGAAGGACAATTCTAACAAATTGAGTTCCTAATACTAACAAGTCTAAAAGGAGTTTTCTGTCTGAATACTTGCTCTTTATTCTGCTAAGATAATCTGTACAGGCTGTCCATAATTGGAGCGAGATAATTTTAAACTTTTCATTGGAGAAGGTATGTGCTAAATTTTTACAAGGCATTGCCGTGTTCAACGTAATTTGTTTTCTGTCTATTCTTATGAACTTGCTCTCATTTAGAAATTAACATTTCTACTACTTTTAATTTTTGCAAGTTGTAGCAATATTATTTGCTGGAAATGAAGGACAGCCCTTTTCAGAGGGGAGAGTATATAAACGTTTCATGGAAAGCGAATTTGTGTTCTCGTCCTGGAGCAGACAAACTAGTTTGTGGAAAAAACTCTTTGAATTTGAGTTCTTTTCGCAATAGCATGCTCCACACTTCTTGTTGTTTTAGTCAGTGACACAGGAAAAAAAATTAACAAACTGGATAACTCAGTTAAAAACGAAGAATTTGTGCTTATCTATTTTACTTTTGTTATAGACTTTGAGGTCTTTTTGTGATTCCTGTGCGCAGGATTACAGAAGTATCCAGTATACACAAGCTGTGGCTGGTAAAGGATGAATGAGTTAAATATGGAGAAACCTCAGGCCTTATGTAGATTGCTGATTTTATTTTGTAACTGCTGGAGATTCCAGTTGAAAGTACTAGGTAAAGCACGTACCGGGCAGTATAATTCCTAGTAAAACATAAAATCTGTGCAAACAATGCAAAGAAGACGGGTCCCTAAATACTGGCTGCCTCTGCATAGCTGCATCTGCTCGTTATTCTGTTCCTTTAGCCAATAACCTAATCGGAGGCTGGCTGCTTAGCATCCCTGTCACCTGCAATAGGTAATATATTTGTTCTCTGTTCCCTATAGACTCACTGGCTAAGGTGGAATATGAAAAGCAATGTATCCAATAGGACTCCAGGCAGGAGGAGGAACTATTTGTGCATAAAACTGCTTGGGCTGAGATAAGCTGTACATTCTGTGTTGACAGACCCTAATGACAGTTTGAAGTCCTTTGTGCTGAATTTTGTAAAACTTTTTTGATAAGTGGGTGAATGTGAAACAAGATACCAAACCACCATTTGTAAGCATGCAGGCAGAAACCTTATTTAAAAGGGCTAAATAAATGTAATACATAAATATAGACAAGCAGATGAATTACCTTCAGCATGCGGGAAAATAATCCAGCTGAAGGTTTTGTACCTTTTTCAGATTTGATTTTTGGTATCTGTACGAAATATTTTCAAGCCAATTGTTGTTGAGTGAGATCATCCTCAGTAAAGGGCAGACATTGACATGGGGATAAAAAATGTATATAAAAATAATATTATTATTTTTGATGTTGTAGCTAAATAATTGCAATAAAATACATTTGCTAGAGATCAGAATATGGACATATCCAAATATGGTACATACATTAACAGTTTCAGAAACAGTTGGGTTATATTTTGAGTTTTTTTACTTGCTTTAAAATTGTTGAAAACTAATCTTATGCTAATAAAAATCAGTTACTAACTTTTTGGTGTTTAATAGGCAGCGTACAAACATTCTACGCTATTGTTCAATTATTCTCTTAGTATCAGAAAGCCTAATAAAATACTTTGTTG